GGATTGTGCACTAAAAAAATACATTGTAAAGGACCTTTTGCTAATATTAAATAGGGTAAATTCCACTTTACCATTACTTTAGTTCGATATCACTTTACTTTCATCTGCTCTCGATTGCATCGATTTGCCCCTTGTACATAAGAAATTGTCTCAATGTGGCTCTCTGGCTCTCGTCGTTAGTTTTCAAACCTTTGACATTAACATCGTTTGATCTAAGTCTGAAAACTACAAAGAAAAAACCACCCCTCACGGTTTAAATAATTAAAAAAAATAAAACTAAATTGTGGCTGGCGTCGTGAACTGTGTTTTTTCGTTGTCTTGAACTTTATTATTATTATTATTATTTTTATATTTTTTATTGTTTTTATAATAATTATTTAAATTGAAAGATATGGTGTTTTTATAATTTCAAAGCTTAGATTAAAAAGTGTTAAAATTAATTGTCTGACAACTAGCAGCAAGGGCCACATTGAGATAAATTTTCAATTAAAGGAGGCAAATCAATTCAATCCATAGTTGAAAGGATAAAATGATACTGGGACAAAGTAGGGGAAATAATAAATAATGTGCAGTATAGAATGTATGAGGCCCAAAAATGCTGTAGAGAATATTCCTGACCTTGTCTCTATAAGCCCAAAAGCCTAACAAATAATGAGACAAATGTAAAACCAGAGTTGATGAGAAATGGCCGCGTAAAATTCTCTCTCTCTCCTTTCTCTCTCTCACACACACAGACTTTGTACGTGTCTGGGAGGTGTCAGTGCATCCATAATCCCAGGGCTTGTTGAGCTCACATAAAAAAGTAAAGTGGCGATTCTATAACCCTACTTTTTCTTCTTCTATTTCCACTCTCATCGCAGAATGTGAAAAATTTCTCTTCGTCGTTCAAGTAAATTTCAGAATCTCGTGATTATCGTCTACAAAGTGGTGCGTAATGTATTCTGATTTATCCCTGTTATCTATCCACTGTGTGAATTGTGTTTTTTTTTTTTTTTTGTTCTATGACGAACTGCTTAGATTTCAGATGTTCGAATCGAAATTCGCATCAGTTTCTCTTATATTTCTGTAGTCGCGGTGTAAGTATTTGTTATCCGCATCGTTTTCATGGCGGTTTCTCTGATTGTACTTCGGAACTTCAGTGATTATTCTTTTTTCGCAGTTGAATTATGGCAACATCAATACTATGCGCTTTTTGAGATGATAGATGTGATTAAAAAGTTGATTTGATAATTTAGTTTTGGATATAAGAGGTGAATTTGAAAAAAGGATCTTCACCGTGAGTCTGTGATTATATATATTAAAATTTTGGTTTACGATAATATTGCTGCTTGCTTGATTAATAATTAGCTGGAGTGGTATAACTGTATAAGCAATTGTATTCATGAAGGAATTTTGATTGCTCCATACTGATTGATTCTTAGGAAAATTACTCGCTAGCACCATCGTATGTCATAATTCTCTCGGTTCCTTTTTCCGAAGTGATATCTGATTATTTTGTTCTGGCAGTAGATTCATTTGTTCTGTAGAAGATTGATGTAGCATTTTATGCAGGTTTCTGTTACATTTCTAATTCAGTTTGCCATAGAGCACGGTATTTGCTTAATGTTTCAGGCTTTCAGCTGTTTTTTAATATCGAATAATCGGAAGCTCAATTGCTATAGAAAGTGGAAGCTCAATTGCTATAGAAAGTTCGAAGTATTAGTTAACAGGTTTTCATCATTTTGTAGATAAGAGGAAATTTCCCTTCGGCTGTTTATTCGTACTTTAGTGCCCTTTACACTAGCCATTGCTGTAATATAAGATATAAAGCTGCTAGTCCTCGTGAATAGTATAAAAAATCTCGACAAGGTTTTGCACTGTTTCGAGAGATCCTTGCTTCGGCTTCAAACCAACTGGCTGTCTATGGATGATGTATTTTCTTAGGTTTTTTATGAGCTACCATGGTTATATAAGCCAAAAAATGCAGGCCATAAACAGCCACCACCACCACCACTTATAATCTTTTGATATTGTTGCATTTGGATTTAGGTAGTAATCATTTGATTTCTTTTTAATTGTGTGTACTCGAAGCAGTAAAACATTTAGCTAAATGATTATGAACTCTGGAACTTAAACAAATAATGTTGACGGTAGTCAGTATCATGCCTTAACATCACAGTGCATTCATACTTTCCTTTAAATAACTGTACTAATTGTTACAATAATCTGACTAGATGGCAAATTGTTACTGGATAATTTGCATTCTGGTGGTATCTTGTCTTGTTGGAGTGTATGAAGGGAGTGCTGGTGATGTTGACCCATCATATAGGTAAAGTTTTCCATCTAGTTTTTGTAGGCTATATAGTCAATTTTTCCCCTTCATGAAAACCAAATAAGCGTTAAATAGGATGACCTTTTGTTTCATGTTGATTTTAGGGCTTGTGTGAAACAGTGTGAAAAGACTGGTTGCGTCGGGGAAAGATGCTTCCCGCATTGCAAATTCTCTTCAGATGGTTCTTCGGTCGATGGCCCTTGGTATATGCAAGAGCCTCTTTACTTGTGGTGGAAACACTGGGATTGCAAGAGTGAGTGCCATCACCATTGTATGTTAGACAGAGAAAAAGAAAGAGCAGAACTTGGTCAAGGGCCTGTTAAATATCACGGCAAATGGCCCTTTCGACGTCTATATGGCTTACAGGTTTGCTATGTTATTAAAGACTATTTGAGTTGGTACTAGTATCTTATTTTTAGGATGCCCCTGACATAGTGCCCTGTATTTATGCAGGAACCTGTTTCTGTGGCCTTTTCAGCTCTAAACCTTGCGATGCATTTCCATGGTTGGCTTTCCTTTCTTACCCTTGTTTACTACAAGTTACCCTTGAAACCAGATAAGTGGCCGTTATATGATTACGTGGGCCTATGGAATATCTATGGGCTTTTGTCTATGAACGCATGGTTTTGGAGTGCAGTCTCCCGCAGTATGTAAGATTTCTGTTTTCTCTTTATTTTAGCTAAAGAGAGTTAAATATGTTCAATTTTTCCCTCCGTTTTTACTTCAGCAATTTGACCACTACAATATGCTTAAAATGCAGAGATATTGACTTGACAGAAAAGCTAGATTATTCATCTGCAGTTGCCTTACTTGGATACTCGTTGATTTTGGCGATAATAAGAAGCTTGAGCTTAAGGCAAGATGCTGCTAAAGTCATGGTTGCTGCTCCACTGATTGCATTTACAACTACACACATTTTGTACCTTCACAACTATAAGATGGACCATGGTATCGTCATTATTTCGTCATTCTCAATTTAAATTATCGTATTATTATTAGATTGAGCATTTTGTGTAGTATCTATTTCATGTCAATATGAAATGTACATGATAATTAAAAGTAGCAAGGTCTATACCACAAACTTATCTTGAAGGCGTTTTAGAAAAATTACTTGTATACATTTATGTGTATACACTTGGGTTTCAACAGGACTCAACATAAACACAAAAGTACTAACATTAAGAATTTTTGGCTTATTTGAATAATCAAGAATTATAACATATCACTCACTCACTTGGTAACATTCTTAAATTTGAACAGGATGGAATATGAAAGTGTCGATTGCAATGTGTATAGCACAGCTTCTCACTTGGTCAATATGGGCTGTAACGACCCGGCATCCTTCTCGATGGAAGCTGTGGATTGTTATCGTGGGAGGATTCCTCTCTATGCTTCTAGAAGTTTCCGACTTCCCTCCTTATCAAGGATTAGTGGGTGCACGTGCTCTTTGGCATGCTTCCACTATCCCTCTCACATACATATGGTGGAGTTTTATTAAGGATGATGCTGAGCATAGAACATCCATCCTCACAAAGAAGGTACAATAGTGTCTTGTCCGAACTCCGAACCAAGAACAGAAATCTCTCTTCATTTATCTTCTCGGAGCATCCTTTTCTGGTAGGAAATTCATGTCATTCTTTTTGTAGATAAACGTTCTTGTTTTTTTTTTTTTTGTGTGTGTGTGTGTTCTTCTCTAGTTTACTGTTTTGCATGATTCTATAAAAAGGACAAGATAGAAAATGAAGTAACAAATTTTGTTGATTAGGAAGACAACGGCTTGGATCATTTTCATTGAGAATTAATCTCTCTCCTGATTATCTTCGTACGACAATTTACTTGTTTATTACCTAGAGTTCAATTATTTGTTAAGAGCATTGGCTTGGTACATATACTTAATTTAACCTAAAATCGACAAAAAGAAAAATTGCACATTGAGAATTACGAAATGTAGATAAATAATTTCACACTACAAAAATATGAATGCACAAGTTTGACAATGTGGGGAAATTGAGATAAAATTCACAATTGTCTATTGATGAGTTACTAAAAAGCTTTTTAACCAGTTCCTATGAAGTTCGGGAACGTTTTGATTTCTTTTTAGAAGATGTGTCAGGAACTGCAATGTAGTCGGCTGCATCAAGTTTCTCGGCAGATTCTCGCATGCCAAAATCCTTTGTTTTTTTCTGGAAAATAAGAAAAAGGGAGAAATGTTAAATTGTAGAACGGTGCCCTAGGATTAAAATCCAAATTCCAGATCCAATAGATGTTAGTGCCACTTACCTTCAAAGACAAGGCAAGGTCAGCAACATTGGTCTTGTTGTCAGTATGTGCATTCGATTGTTTTTTAGGTTCCTGCAAAACGAATGAGAATATTTAATTTCATTGAAATTATAAAAATACATATATATAACCACAACGGTTAAAGCAGGGTAGACAAAGTTCCTAAATCGAACCTCGGGAGGAACAAATCCCGCTTCTCTTCTCTTTTTGCCTTCTGCGATTTTCTCAGCTTGTTTCTCCTGCTTATCATGCCACTTCTTCGCCTGCTTCATCTGATCGCTCAAGAAATATTCTCCACTTTCCAATTGCAAATCAATCTGACATTATTCAAACAGCAAAATGAGTGAAAACCATTTGCCTCCAAATCCCCCACAATGAAAAATGCACACACACAAGCATCAAAGTAAAACCCGATTTTGGCAAGGAAAAACTGAAGTTAACTCACCTTGCTAGGTGGCTGTGGTGGAGGGAATGGCGTGTAAACCTTCTTCTCCTTAGTTTTAACTTTCTTTTGTTTGACATTTTTCCTGCAAGTCAATGTAGAAGGAAAATATTATATCCTGTCGCAAAGAGGGTGCTTCAATTCAAGATAACACTACATACGATAAATGGCAATAGAGGAACACAAGGCATACTTTTTAAATCTCGGAAGAAATCTGTCCCAATTTTCATTAGCAAGCGTAGGATCTTTAGCAAGTTCCCTTCTCATCATTAATATCTTGTAACAGAAGCCAGAGTTTAGTTTAGTTGCATGAAGACAGCATCAGAACCAATCAAAAAAGTAGATGAAACAAGATCAAATTCACCGGGTATAGATTTGAATAGTCACCTTGATGCTGTATACTGGATGCATTTTATTAAGAATGCAATCTTCAACAACCTTCCTCACTTGTTTTAGACCTTTAAACGAACCCATTGCCGCAACTGTATTCCCCTGTTATGAGTAGAAAAACATACACTTAAGTACCTGAATTTTCAAGAAAGAAAATAATATTATCAAAGCCATATGTACGTAATCAAGTAAGAGGAGATATTAAATTGCTTACCTGAACCAGAATATAGCAGCCTGTTAAAATTTCAAGTGCCTGCATTTCGTAAACCAAATTCAGAATTATGCAGGTATATTTGAAATAAGAAAATCAGGGATTAGAAAAGGAAAACTAATGCCGCATACATCAACAAGAGAGGATATGTTGAACAAGTTATAATTACAATTTTTCTCAAGTGGGTCACTAGATTAACAATCTCAGCTACATACCTTCAAAGTAGAAGAATTGGGGCCAATCAAGTGGTTTTTTCTTTTCTCCAATCGTCCCTGCAAAAAAATAACATTATAATTAAAATCAAATTTTTGCCAAGATTATAAATGAGACTAAAATTTATTATACCACGAAAGGTTTTGTCATCGCTTTAATTGTTACAAATTGCAGTCAAGTCTTTTCTTGACGGTATGATTATGATTTAATTTGGTAAATTTTTAGTACAAAAAAGAGATGGATTTCGTTAATATATACAATTTTTTTAATTATAGTTAAGTTCTTGACCACAAAGTGCAAGAACAATTACATGTTCGACCTACGTGAGGAGATCTTAGTAGCATGTTCTGTTAGCGGTACATTGGAGATGAGATTGCAACGTGTAAACCCATATACTCAAATGGAAAATTCGGATAGAAAAATTGTCTAGCCAAGGCGAGTAATAGATTTAAAACACACCTTGTTGCGCACCAAACCCCCAATCTTGATTATGTCACACTGCATCTCATCGTTGAGGACCTTTATTGCCTGTCACAGTACAATGATACGTAAGATCCTAAAGGCTAAAAGAAAGATTTCAGGGATCGCAAGTGAAAAACATGCCATTGGTAATATTTTATAAGTAGATAGATCTCCAATCCTGCAGAATTTTCAGAAAGTTTCAAATAAATAAAATCCATCAAGTTTACGACAGAATAGTTTCAAGAGACAACTTTACGAAAAAATAATTTCAAGAGACAACTTCACCTTTTCTGTGAAAAAAAACTCTTATTTTCCCCTTTGGTTAGTTATCTAATTGTATGTTTTACTTCAACAAGATGACATCTAGATATTCAATCAGCATTTTCTGTTCAAAAATATTGTTACTACAACAACAACCAACAGATTTAATAAAATAGGTAGAAGTATAATATATGCATGGTTTCACACTACAAATACAATATCGAGAACAAGGTAAACTTACAAAACAGACAACTACATCCACACGCTAGATTAGATCACAATCAACATGAATATCTTTAACTCAAAAATAAGACCCAAACAAAATTTATGAACTAGAAGATAGTAAACAACTGAGAAAGTGAAAGAGAAGGGATTTTGAAGAAATGTGACCTGAGGAGCAGGAACACTTCGTGACAAAAGCTTGATGAGATCTCTACTCTTAACTATTATATAGGGATCCCTGGTTTTCCGTGTAGTTGAAACAGTCATGCTTCCTTCAACCTGACGAAGAATGAGCCATTCAACAAAATAATGAAATTAAATAAAACACAATTTCTTGATGAAAATGAGAGTTCATTGTCATCACCAAACATAAGAAACCAACTTACCAAATTTAACTCACAAGCAATCCCATACTCTTTCAATGCACCCTTAACTATAGGCCAGCACTCCTGCAAATATTTCTCTGAAAAAAAAAAGTCGGAGAGAAAAAATATCAGGATAAACCAAAGGTTAAAAATCACAGATTCCAAATGCCTAACAGCCATGGAAATTCTTAAAGTAAGCAAATATTTCTTACCCTCAATAGTTTCATTTCATCCTAGATATCCCTCAGCTTAGAATCAGTAACTAGTAATGGCTAAATCACTTAATTAGTACTTTCGCATGCAAATTTAACACTCTGAAACCCTAATTTTGCCAATTGCACCACATCAGTCCTTACTAGTTAATAGCAGCACCTGCTAGGGTTCTCGTTTTCAGAAAATCCACATTCATTCAAGCATCTGATTACTCATTCGTATACGCAACAGCAATACGGCATTTTTATCAATTGATTCATCGCAATTAAAGCACTCGAATCTCTTAATTACACAATTACCCCAGGCATTTACATATCAAAAAAAAGTAAATTAAAGGAAAGTAATTGGACCTCTGTATTGAGGGAAGAGAGTAGAGAATGTGCTGACTTCCAACATGCCGCTTTCGTTCCATGAAGGATCGAATTTCTCGATTTTCCAGTGGTCGATACTCGGGTCATCCCACGGCTTTTCTTTGTCGTGCTTTCCCTTGTGCCTCGTCCGCGGCTTCTCTTCTGCTTCTGCTTCACCACCGCCATTGTTTCTCTCATTTTCTTCTTCTACAACACTATCTCCCCCCATTATTGTTGTGCTTTGTTCAAAAATTTTCCGACATTCAAAAAGAGGCGAGAAAAGATTTATAGGGTTTTTAGGGTAAATGGTCCGGCGATGTTTCTCGGCCCATTGAAATCTTTGTTGGGCTTATACATTAATATTTAATTAATTCAATTTATTTTCCAACTGATATTAGTTTATTACTCATCTATTTTGTTTATATCATTAATTAAAAGGGTAAATTACAGTAGCCCCTTGATGTAAGGTATATTTATGAAAATTCCCCTCACTTTTACATAATTATACACGAACCCTGAAACTTGTAGATTTCTTGCATTGACACCCTTTTGTTGGGGGTATATGTAACAAATTTACAAACTTAAGGTTCTAGGTGCAATTTCTCAAACAGTCAGGGGTTGTATTATAATTATGCTTTACCTCAGGGAGGTGGTTGAAATTTACCCTTTAATTCAATATTGCACTATAATTCCACTTATGTTTTAATTCATAATCTACTTTTTTGTTTTTGGTTTTATATTATTGGTGGTTCTAGAATTGAAATTATATACTAATCACTAGTTCCTTGAATTTATTGGAGATAACTACTTAATACATAAATAAATAAATAAAACTTTAACAACATTATATATTTTATCGAAGTTATTATTATCACAGTACAACTTGCTACAAATGTTTAACAAGAACACACTACATAAGTGGGGAAAAAAATTAAATAAATTAAGATGCTACACAAAATTTGACCTCAACTACAATTACAACACAATCAATAATAGCCTAGCTTACACAACGAACTCGAGACTAGTTATCGATTGAAGAAACCAGGACCAGCTCGTGAGAGAAGTTCCTCACCGGCATCCACGCCCATCTTCATCATATCATCATACGCATATGGACCTTTTCGTGAGGTCTCGAGTACTGAACATGTAAGAAAGTGAGTGCGTGTCAAAAGCACAATCCATTTTTAAATAATCGAAGTTATATGATTGTTTAATTTATTTATTCCCTTGTTACCTTCGGTTCCATCAGGAGATGCTATGAGTGCTCGGAAAAAGCAATCCCCATTCTCATCCCTATGTGCATATCCAGCTATTGGAGTTCGACAAGATCCCTCCAATTTCTCTAGAAAAGCCCTCTCGCATGATATTGCTAATCTAGTTTCCTCGTGATTCAACGATGCCAAATAAGTAGCCTGTTATACATAAAACTTCAATCATAAACAAAATGCAAGGAGAAAAAAAAGGTACGATAAGACGAAGAATTGAAATATTGACTGACCATTTTTTCATCGTCGCTTCTACAAGCAATACCTATAGCCCCTTGAGCTACTGCAGGAAGCATGTCATCAATGGACATAATAGCAGTAACGTTTTCTGTCATGTTTAAGCGCTTTAGCCCTGCTAATGCAAGTAGTGTTGCTTGGACCACTCCCTCGTTCAGTTTTTTTAACCTTGTCTGTACGTTACCTCGGAAATTCTCCACCACCTGCAGTAGTTTAGCATTGAAAGTAAAATTTAAGTGGATGTTGACCATATATTGCATTGCAAATGACCAGAGAGTAATAACTAATGGACAGGAAAAAAGAGAGTTGGAATCTTTGAGGTGCATCTGCCAAAAACGTGCGTAGTGACTAGTAGACGCAGAATAGAATGTGAAATTATCATCAAATGTTACTATGATTCCTACTAATTACCTCCTTTATGTCTTTGAAATATGTGATATGTTGCACGCAATATACATATAGAGAATATGCATGCATTGCAATAGTCGGAATTTATGAACTCCCTCAGAGTTTTCAATCAAGACCCTCAAAAGTAGGGATGGAAATTTGAACGGAATTACCAAATTCCACCGATTCCGATCCGAGTATTTCCGACTTTGGAACAATACTTTTCATTGCGATTTCCGATTTTTTCCCGAAAATTACACTTATAATATCAATATTGTTATCTATTATGTTATAGGTGACTTAAAAAATGAAATACCAAATTCCGTCGACACAAATCCGAAAATTTTCGAAATTCCGGTTTCCGATTTTTTGATTTTTTTTTGGAACGTAATTGGAATTACTTTTTCACTACAGAAAAAAAAATGGATTTTTTTGGAACTGCAAATTCCGATTGGATCTGTCCGGTTTCCACAATTACACAAAAGCAATAAAATGTACAGAGTATCTTAAAGAGAATAACGGGACAGTGTGCTATAGGGCATTGATAGAAAAGGAACCATTGAGTTGAGACTGAGATGTTTCCAATATGATCTCTTTTCTTGATCCTGATAAAATGTATGTGCAGATACAAAGATAAACTCACTGTGCTACAGGCTACAGCTGAATATACTTTCTTCTTAAATGGACTATTAACAACTAACTCCTTAGCTTCACCAGTAAGTGGCTTACAACACTTACGGCATTCAGGCAAGGGATTATGGGAGGATAAAACAGAAATTACCATAATAACAATTGAAAATAAAAATTTATGACAAAAGTATATGAAGGAACGATGAGTTAATATCATAATAAATTTACCTTTAGTGACGGATATCGATTGAGAAGTTGAGACTTCCTTCTCAAAGAAGCAGTGCCCACAACACTTCCAGCAGGAAGTTCGGCCAGCGAAGCAGCTGTCAAGCATATAAAAGCATCTCTGACATCCTCACGTGGGAGATTGCAAGGCAATATCGTATTCTCTGGAAGATATGTCGGCACATCTTTCATCGAATGCACAGCTATATCAATATCGCTATTAATAAGCGCCTCATCTATTTCTTTTGTGAATAAACCCTTTCCACCAATATCCGCCAATGGCTGACTTAGTATTTTGTCACCGGTCGTTTTAATTATCACAATTTGGATTGCTCCCTCCTCAGCTAACTCGGGATGCGAATCGATCAGTTTGGCTCGGGTTTCATAAGCTTGGGCAAGGGCCAGTGGACTGTCCTACATAGAACGGTAAGATTAATTCATCAACATTTAATTATATCATATCTATTAGACTATAGATTCCTTGTAACCGGCTTCAACTAACTAAGTATTAGGGTTCTAGAACCTTCTCTCTCTAGCTGTATAAATATGAGATCTTCATCTTATTGTAAGTTAAGCTTTCAGTAAATAATACTTCATTTTACAAACTCTCATACTCACAACACATTACAGTTAATTTGGTAACAGTTTGTTGAAAGTAAACAAGTTGATATTTCGATCAAATTTATTTATTATTCAAAACTCTGTTCACAAATACAATGTTCAGCACAAATACCAAATCAATCTACAATAACATAATTGAAGCTAATGCTATTTAAATTGAAATAGATAAGAGAAGATGTAAACCGAAACAAAATTGAAACAGTAGTACATTACCATCCCTACGCCAAAATCTGATTAGCAAATGAATCTCACAATGAAATTATCAGAATTCAAAAAATTCAATTATCTTCAGAAATCAAGCTCGAGAAACAATCTGTGACCGGTTAATGAGCAATCGGAAAAAAATGGAGCGGCGGAAGAAGAAACTTTACCTCCCCCGAGTGCCAATTCTGATGACAGCGGCCTTTGTTAGAGTCTTCTCCTCCACAGCAACCGAAGCTCTAACGGAAAAACTTGCGCCGCGTGCAGAACGGTTAAGAGATGGAGATTTACCGATGCTCGACAGAGAAAATCGAAGAGGAGAAATGGAAGCAGCAGTGAAATGAGCTTGATTTACAGTGGCAATGGCCATCTTCTCCATTGCTGAAAGGGAAACGGAGATAGATATGAATGAAGATAGCGTTGAAGATTCCTTTTCATTTTTAATTAATACCTCTCTTATTGGGCTTTCGTAAAAGTAAATTGAGCCCACTTAACCTTTTATAGGCCCATCAGTGATGCCACGTCATTTTGCACACGAATTTTGGGGGAAAATATATAATTTATTAAATATCCGAAATTCTTCATAAATTCTTGATCCTTTACTTCGTATCCTTCTATTAGTTACGTTGTTGGAACTTGGAACACCAATTGTGAATTCGAGTAAACTGCGACTTGTTTCACACCAGCCTTTCGAGCTTGTTCCAGTCATTGTACCAGCACCTCGTATTCAGCTTCGTTGTTGGATGCTTTAACGTCGAATTTTATTGCGAACTCAATCTTTTCTCCTGCGGCCAAGCTGACCAACACTACCTCGGGTCCAGATCTATTTACCGTGGAAAATTTGTTCACATACACTTTCCATCTAGCAAACTCTACTTCACATGTGGTTTCCTGGAGGATATCGGCGAGAGCATGTTCTTTTACTGCAGTGCAAGGCTCGTACTCCATGTCGTATTGTCCGAGCTCTATAGCCTATTTAACCATTCATCATGAAGCTTTTGCATTTCCCAAGGGTTTGTCTCAAACGATGATTTGTGCAAACGATTATAGTGCAAGAGGAAATAGGGTCGCAACCGTCAAGCCGTAATGATGAGAGCAAATTCAGCTTTCTCAACTTCCAAATACGTAATCTTGCTTACATAATATATTGGTCGATGTTTCTTCTCCATTTCATAGAATATGATTGGGGCTTTCTGACACTCCCCCCACCGATAGGTACATGTGGAGTGTTTCGCCGACCTCGGGCGTCGACAATGGTGGTAAGGCAGTCGAGGTTTTTTTAAGGTGAAGCCCTTGTTTGTATTGTATTTAAAACCACAAGTATTTGGATTTACTTCTTCACCGGTCCATGGTCTAATACATCTACGAGCCCATGCAATTTTAATGGGCCTTAAGGTTTAGTTAGTTGGGCTATAATTGGTATTTCTATCAAAAATAAATTATTATTATTAAGGTTAGTAATTTGGGCTGTCGAAGTCCATTAACTTAGTAGTTGGGCTTGTTCTAACGATTATATCTAATTCAAATTATATCTTCTTTTTTCTATCTAAAATCAATTTGCTAGAAAATAGTTGCAACCAACCGTTTATTTTAATTGATCGATTTACGGACAATTATATATAGAACAAGCGAAATTCTCCCATCGCTTATTTTTAAGTGTCTTTTAAGCTATTAAAAAAAAGGTGTCGTTTTACATTAAAAAGTATCAAAATCGAAATCTTCCCCCTAAAATAAATTAATTAATGTGCGTTCACTTAAAAATATATATAAATTTATGTAAATAGAAGTTTGACCAGGTCATTAGTGTAAAATAGAAGTTTGACCAAGTCATGATGCATGTGCACAGTAGTATCATGAAACCTAGAAGAAGCACAGTAATATAATGGAGGGGTACTTTTACTGTTGTAGTACAAAGCTGCAGGAGATCATGGGGGCTGGCCCACAAAGCCCCCGTGAACACCACTCTCTCTCTCTCCAAACGTAACGGTCAAATTTAATTTACGTTAGCCAAAGATTTAATACCCATTATTATGCTATAGCATTTTCTTTTTTTGCTTCTATATATATATGGTCAATAATTCCGATCAGTAAAAAGGAAAAAATAAATAACCACACCAAATCACCAAATATATACACATAAATATAATATTATTTTTTAATAATATATATATATATATATATATATATATATATGCATCTGACAGAGGCCTCAGGAAATAAACATGACACAAAGTTGTGCAACAACTTTCAGCATGAATAATAATTAAAGGTAAAAAAAAGAAAGATGTAGAGTCAAATACTGTTCTGTCATTTCTTTTTTATTTATTTATTTATTTTTATTTAATTTAATTTTTACCCTTTTCTTGTTTGCTCAACTCAGAGTATGAAAATGAAAGGGCCTCTGCAGATAAAAAGGTGACCCCAACTAACTGACAGTGTTAGAAGTTTGGCAGCAAATTACTTAAATAAGGTCTGTTTAATTATTACTAGTTCTGCTAAATTGAATTTGGTAAAACTTTAGGATAAATTTATGTATGTTAAAAAGAATAAATATTACAAGTAAGTTGAAAATTCTTATAATGATAAATAAAATAAAGGTGGGTCAAATTTGACTGGATATTATTATTACAAAGTTTATTTTAATTTATATAATAATTGTGAAGAATTGAATCTTGTCTGAAAAATTATATTGGTTCAGATAAGTTGGGTGGGCTGAATTAGGTGGTGGCCTTTCCTCATATTCATTATCAATCAATTTATTGGATACCCCTCTCTTCATGTCTTTTTTGGGAATCTCATTCATATATATACACTACAAATATGTACGTATATATATGTATATTATTTATTTATTAATTAATAAATTAAAGAACCTTTGAATCTGTCAGACAATCCCTTTTAAGACTACCTGTGTAGATGGGGGTGGTGAAAAGCTTGGAAATCACATGTAGAATAATCACATTATTATATATATATATATATACTATAAGGTTATATATTGCAACTTTAAATTGAATGTAATAATGTAATGTGAAAGGTGCTTCAATTGTCCTTAAAAGGGGGGTAAGCACAAACACACATGCAAGCTCCTCTAAATATATATATGTATGTATGTATGTATCTCTCTCCACTCAAGCAAATATTAATGCCTATTCTCTCTTTTATTTATTTAATTAATTCGTGGTTATAATTAGATATAATCTTAATACTTATATTAATTAATTGGTATGTTGTGACCCCCACCAACTCTTTTTTTATTTTTACTTTACTTTTGTGTTCTTTATTTTTTTATTTTTTTGGGTGGAGGTAAAAGAAAGAGTTGGGAGTTGATGGAAGCAATAATAGAGTGGAAGAAAAGATTGGGAGTGAATGAATAATTGTCATTGGGGAATCCACCACCAATCCATGTGCTTTATATATATAGATATATATATGTATATATGTATGTATAGGTGTAGATTTCTTCAAAGCTCGGGCATCTTGTAATGTTAACGACAAGTCTCCTTCATTGGATTTGGATTTGTAGTGCAATTTCATCATGACTTTTCGTCCTTTTCAAGGTGAGAAATAAATAAAGATGCCCGAGTAGTGGACGAATTTTTAGCCTTCATTTCTTGCAACTTTATTTAATATGTATGAAAAGCTAATATTAATGAGGTGTATAGCAATTTGTTCAATTAATATAACAATTTGTGTGTTGTGTAGAATTGAAATTTGAACGTAACATGACTCTCCAAACAAGAGACTTCAACTACTCATTCATTTCAGAAATAGGCATTAGTGGAAAAAAGATCGGTAACGTTTAATACGTGGGGGCGATTTGGCAAACGCCGGTCGACTCTATTACCATTTCAAATAAGGACAACGAGATTTTGATAATTTGGTAAAAAATTCTATTGTTTTTACATTACTCCTCGCTACGCCTGCCTGCGCACACACACACACACACATGTATAGTTTAGTGATCGCGTAGTGGTTATGGTGTGTTTGGTGATGGTAGTCTGGATGTATATAGGAGCCAAAGATTTAAGTTTTTTGTTTAGTTTATTTTAATTAAACTTTCTCATTGTTAATCTTAAGCCCCTGTATATTGTTAAACTTTTCTAAATTGTCTATATATAGCTTCTACGTATTTTGCAATGAATCTGATCATGCAGTAATAAAAACCAACTTTAGTGCTCTAAGTAAGTTCGTTGATTTCGTCCTTAAGTTCTCTATATATGTTATTGATTGCTTATATTAATGTATTTTTAAGTTTTAGTTCCAAAATCTAATTTTGGTCAGATTACGCTAACAAAAAGTGCATGTAATTATCTATTCAACTCCCATATAACTCAATTATTATAGGGATTCATGGACTATAAATGTTGCAAAAATTTAATTAGAGGACCTTTAGCAAAATAAGAAAATAGTGTATTTCCTTCTTTCAGGGACCTCAACCTAATAATCACTAAATATATAGAACTCGGGGATAAGATTCACACACTAAAAAAAATGTTGAACTGAATCAATATTAAGAGATTTTTTTTTTTTTGAAATGAATCAATATTAAGAGATGTAGAATGTAAAAACTCAATACATAGTACATATACTATCATTGTTAGTATTATTACTTAATTAATTAATTAATTAATTAATGTTGTATTTGCATTAGATAACGTAGGTACCCATGTTGGTGTATGATATGAAAGATGAAACGTAAATACTCCAAATTGGAGGATAGTAAAAAGTTAAAAACAAGCCGGGTTAATTAATTAAGGAATAAATGCAAAAGAAAATTAAAGCCTCAATTATTAACAATGGATCAGTTCAGTATTGTATAGATTTTGTCTTTGGATACAGTAATAGTAATGCAGGCCCTGCTGTCTTTGTCTCCTTAATTGCAGCTAATCTGTCTCAAGCCCACTGTGTATATATATATATATATAAAATAAATAAATATGCAAATTAATTAAATAAATAAATAATATTGAATAATTTTGACAAGATGCAGAGGTAAAGATAGACTGCAGCATTCACCACATACATCGATTAGAAGCAACATTACCTTGAAAGCATCATCAGTTTTATTGCAATGTGTTTGTCTAATTGTGACTACTCACATATTATATTATTTATAATATATTTTAATATTAATTAATACTTTATTATCGTGCTTTGCAGGTCATTAATTAAGTTACTGCTGCGTATGTTTTAAAGTTCCTTTAATTTAATTAACCTTCATCCTGCATTATAAAGTTACTGACTTCTTCCTGGAAACAGCAAAATCGTTTTTTTTTTCTCTTAAATTAATTAATCTATACTCGTTACTTAATTATGTAAAAAGAAATAATTTATAATTAATTTTTTTTTTGATTTTTTTGATTTATGGGTAAATAAGTTGAAAATGAAGTTGCAACAGCCAACAACAACGGTGGGGCAAACCTACCCCAGCCCGAGAGGCATCAGGCATATGAGCTATCTTCCCATCACCATACACGCAAATGCAAACCAACTATTTTTTGCTACAGTAGGTTTTATATAACCGTAAATTACACCAAACTCCCATGAGGTTTTATATAATCACATTTAGACCCTTATTGTTTGGAAAACAATATATATATATATATACCTCCTTTCATATTTGATAATATCCAACACTCATCTTATATATATGGCAATGTACTTCATTGAAAATTCGTAACGAAATACTATTTAGTAAATTACGTCGACATGCATCTCGTATAATTACATATAGACCCCTCGTATTCTTAAAATATTACAAAATACCTCTAGCTAAGGGACACTAACTAATTCTACTAATTTTTTTTTCTTCAAATTACAACCACCCCTTGAAGTATGGTTCAATTACGGAAAAACGCATCTTGTTTTAGGCTATTATAACCACCCTCAACTATAAATTTTCTTACACGTCCACCATTGCGGTGTCGAATTTAGTGGAATCTTCTAGATTATATGCAATATTCACAATTTTGTACCTGGTTTATCCCATTCGAGTTTCACTATTTGAGAGCAAAATTATCATAAGATGTGTCTTTTGGCTTGTAAATATCTGATTGTGGTGCATCAGAAACTGCATTTTCACACAAAACGAATACAAATTAGAGGACATTCATGAAATATAGAAGATTAAGTTTGAATTAACACCATAATAATAGATGTATATACTAAGAAAATTCATAGTTGAGGATTAGATGTAATTATCCAAACATTGACGGATTTTACATAATTCGATCATACCTCAGGGATATGGTTGTAATTTACCCATATAAGTAATAAGTAAATAAAGATGGAGAAAAAGATAAAAGAGATGGAGGTTGGAAATCGAGTACATAAATAAAAACAAAGGAGAGAGTCACGCAGAATATGATTCATCTTGGGGAACGTTCATGTGCCATGCCCATCCCACACCCTTTCCTGTACGTATTAGTCGGTATTACTGCCTAACCAACAAAAAATCACTCCATCAAAAAACCCGTTTTCCCATAACGGGCGGGCCCCGCGTCCACGCACCTCACACGTGCAACTCGTCCATCCTCACACGTGTCGGATTCATATCCATATACGGTTTAGAATTTCCCAATTTCCGTAAAATTAATATGAAACCCCAAAATTATTAGAAAATAAAAAAGAAAAAAGCAGGTATTCCGGAATAGCCCCTGGGATTCAGCCGGAATGATAGACTGACCCGATCCCCTTATGGCTGTGAGATGATGACGTTAAACGGGTCAAGATAAATATAAAAAGATGAGGGGAGGGGCCTTTCTGGTTAACCGAACAATCTCCGTAATTATGTACTCTTTTATACCAAACAAACTAAACTACAAAACTCTCTCTCTCTCTCTCTTCCCCCCTTTTCTCTCTCTACATATATATATAACTCTATATCTATCTCTATCTCTCCTTTAAATACTCCAAAACAAACATCTTTTCTGGGACTTTTTTTCTTTTTTTTTTATTTTTCCTTGTTTTATCTTTAAAGCCAAACAAAACCCTGAAATCTGAATAAACCCCCACCCACATTTGCACATATATCTGCATGCCCACCCCTACTTTTTCCTCTTTACTTTGCTTTCGTTTTTCCTCTCCCTTCCTTCTTCACACATTGTTCTTCTCTCTCTCTCTCTCTCTCTCTCTTATAACTTGTGTCCGCAAACCAAATTAAGCAAAAGCAAAGCATAGTTTGTTATACAGTGATCAAAGAAAACCAAGAAGATATTCATCCGGTGTTAATGGCGGTTGAAGCTCGGCATCTCAATTTTTTTCCTTCACAGATACTTGGCAATAGGTAGGTTTCGGTTTTTTTTCATAGATTTGGTTTTTTGGTTGACAAAGATGGTGCAAAAGCATTGGAAATGGAATTAATGAGTTTCTTTGGATGAATTAATGCAGAGGTATAGCGATGAATAGTGTTGAAGGCATCGGAAACGTGTACGGCGGCGCTTCGACGGGATACGGTGTACTGGCTCCGTCGTCGGGAACCACGACGGCGACTGAAACTGTTTTTCCGATGTACGGTTCGATGTTGATGGAAAACGGAACGGTGAAAACGGCGGCGGCGGCAATGAAGTCCGATAGCGGTCTAACGTACGCCGTTCCGGTTTCGAGGAAGCGTTCCCGAGATGCGGTCATGAATCCTATGTCTTCGTCACTACCGAGCGGCGGCGTTGAGAATCAGACTGCGAATTACCGCGGCGGTTCGTTAACTTTTCTCGGCGAAGATTTCTCGTTTGAATTCCAGCAGCAGCAAATGGAAATCGATCGGTTCATCGCACAACATGTACGTTAATCTTCATTAAAATAGAGCCGTTTGATTCCAAATTGATTGCTGTTTGCTTTTTTTATCTACGATTGTAAACTAATTTGTGGCGTTTGGTGGATTGATATGAACAGACGGAAAAGGTGAGGATTGAAGTTGAAGAGAGGCGGCGGAGATACTCGCGGCGGATCGCGGCGGCGGTGGAGGAAAGCATAATGAAGAAACTGAAATCGAAGGAAGAAGAAATCGAGAAAATCGGGAAATTAAACTGGGCGCTGGCTGAAAGAGTTAAATCTCTGTGCGTGGAAAACCAAATATGGAGAGATTTGGCTCAGACCAACGAAGCCACAGCAAATGCCCTCAGAACAAATCTGGAACAAGTCCTCGCTCAAGTCCAAGACGTCCGGCAGCAGGAAATTCCCCACCGCCTCAACGACGCCGCGGCGGCGCTTGCCGACGACGCGCAGTCGTGCTGCGGCAGCAACGCTCACGAAACCGAGATGCCCCGAACATTTCCGGTGGATAGCCCGCCGGCCGCGGGCGGCGGCCACGATCGCGATTACAACGGTAACAATAACATGAACAGAGCATGCCGGAGCTGCGGGAAAGAGGAATCGTGCGTGCTGCTGTTGCCGTGCAGGCATCTCTGCCTCTGTACTTTCTGCGGGTCGTCTCTTCACACTTGCCCCGTTTGCAACACAACCAAAACCGCCAGCGTTCACGTTAATCTCTCCGCCCCTTGAATTTCGGAATTCAAATTAGCCGTTATAAAAAAATCTCCGAAATGAAATAGATATTCGTTGCTATCCGAATACACAAAAAGAAAAATTCACAAATAGAACCACAGGAGTCTCGATTATTTTTTTTTTTTTTTTTAGCCCTACTGACTTTGTTCCGATTTCAATTAATCAATGTAATTACTACTTAATCTTCAATTTTCAATCTTTTATCGCCGTATATTTTTATTAGTTTTTGTATGTTCAAATATGGCGGGGGTTTGTTTAAACGCGCACATTAGAAAAACCACCGGAGAAGACGAGGCACAAGTTAGCAAGAGCGGTAAAATAGGCGTGAAGTCAACTGTAAAGAAAGGTGTGAAAATGACACGTGCAGCGTAAACGCTGACACGTAGGACTCGCGCAAATGTCGCTGTTGTGGCGCAGAGTGGTGGGTGAAAAAAAAAAGGTGGATATATCATATATGCCCACTAAGCAACTCCTGACCTCGGTTGCCGTGCTAATTGTATAATGGCACCGATGGGGCACTGTAGAGAGGGTGGGGCCCAGCCCCAGACAAGCAACGGGTGATGTGGAATCCCGCCAAAACTACTTTAATACCCGTTAGAAGACAAAATACGGATTATACCAGAAATTAGAAAACAATGACAAAAAAAGTATGGTCCTACCGTATTTCACGCCCCATTGCGTACAATACACGGTGCGATAAACCCGATGTGATTCCCATGTATAATTTATTTATTTATTTTCTTTTAAATACTGATGCTTGATTTTATCTTCATAAACAAGATATGCTCAAAAGTTATGGTTGCAGCACGATTTAATTGGGAGTAGTTAACAATTAAATTAAAGGCCAATTGCGTAAATTAATGAGTTTTATTAGTGCGGAAAGCGCACCGGCTTGATCAACTCCCATCATCGCGCATTAAATTAAAAAAAAAAAAAACTTAGTGGCAAAAGCGTGCTTTTGATTACGAAAGTAAAAACAAAGAAAGCGTAGAAAAAATCTTCAGTTTTCAAATCTTAAACCTCGATTTAGTAACAAACGTATTAAAATTAAAACACACAACGGTGGTGCTTATCTGTCACCGACGGCGAAAGAAATTAGGAGTGATGATAGGCTTTATGTTAGGTGTGATGGGTGGTGGGTTTTAATTGGGGTGCGTACAATCCACGCGCCCTTTTTGGTTGGGTCCCACCATCCTATCATAAGATCAATATATCTCACGTCGCTTTCGGTAGACACGACAGAGTACCAGGATTAGGCTACATATATTTAAAATTTATTAATTAATAATTAGTGATGATAATAATAATAATAATGTTTTGTCTTAATGATGTGATGAACTACAGTTTGTAGTAATATAATATAGGCTCGTGGGGGCAGTGCTTAATTAAGGCTAATAGGGTGGTGCCCTACTATTCATCTAGATTTGGAGTTGGGGGATTATTATATTATTATATTAATTTATTTATTTATTTAATTATTGTATTTATTCAATATGGGGAAGGGCTAGGCTGCCTCTTCCAGATTCCGCCTGCTAAAAGCTACAGTACAATTTTTTACAATACCGATTTTATTGTCGGGCTGTGTTTTTGCTCTGCCATGTGTCCTTTTCATACTCATTTATTAATTAATTCTTTTTTTTTCTAATTAAATCTATTCTTTTTTATTCAATGTTTTTATTTTTAATAAAATAATTAATAATAATAAATTGGTACATGAATATATATATATATATACATGAATGGGCAAGTTCAAAGAACTTCACACAGCGGACCTCATGGCATGGCGGGAAGGAGGTTGCGTTCACGTGGTATATCAGATTTTCAGTAATGAAAGTTAGCGTTTTTTTCTGCAGCGAATGGATCCTCGGAATTGGTAATAATTTAACTTTGTGTTATTTTATTAATTTGTAATAATAAAGACAAGCCGTATAATATTAAAAAATTAAAAATATATAATAAAAAAATGAACAAGAACACAGCTAATTATTTTTATTATATATATGGTGAAGTTGCAACAGAGCTGTTGGGTAATTGGTTTAGTTCGTGGGTAACGAGAGCGTCACGAAATGGAATAATTATGAGATATGAACATATATATAAGTTAAATAATTACAAGTATATATATACAATTAATTTTGGGAATAACTTAGAAAATAATGATACGTATATTATATATTAGCATGCAGCTGGCTGATGGATATTTAGCCCTTATCTATTATGTTTAGTTTTTGGGATTTTCTTGTGAAAATTTTTTATTTATAAAAAAAAATTTATAGGTGATTATCCTTTGCATGCTGTTCTATAAATTAATAACTTCGTTTAAATAATAATTTATACTTTGATTTCGATTTAGTGAAAATCTATTAAATTATTAGTTCTATAATTTAATATTTCGTTAAATTAATAATTATACTAGCATTATGATTTATGAGTAATTCAATTGTATTAATTTGTAGATGTTTAATGTAGATTGATTTTTCTTTCCTTAATTAAAAACCCATATAATGAAAAAAAAAAAAGGAGAACATTGATAAAATCACTTTCATTTTGAGGAAAAAACAAAACTAATTAATAAAGTTGGTTGGGTCGTGTCAATCAAAATGAATGACTAAATAATAAGACGGAGTTAGCAAAACCAAATTGGATTAGTCACGGAAAAGGAAAAGCATAAAATGGACCTCTAATTTGTCCAACCAACCCGTTACCCTAATTTTAATTACCTAAAGTCAATTATATGCATTCCAGCATCACCATCACACCATTATTTAAATCATTAAAAAAATTATGTATATTTATCTAAATAATGATGATGACAATGGTGATTGTTATGTATAATAGTTATGTATAATACTTGGCATATGTGTAGAAATAATCAAACAATACATCATCTACTACGTATTGGAGTTAAGAAATGTCCCGCGAGAAATGTTGAAGCTGTTATATACAGTTAACGTATTTATGTCAATCGAAATTCGAATTCTCTTATCAACGTTCGCTAGGTGGAGTTTGTTATACATGATTAGTTTAATGCGATTTACGTTTGTTGTATCAATTTACTCAGTGCGGTTATATGATTAGCTGCATGTTACTTTATTATAAAAAGAAAATATTAAGGAATTAAAGAAAACAATTGAAAAAAGATAACGATTTTACGTTTTAAAAATTTAAAAGGGTAAATTCCACTTTACCCCTTGTACTTTGACTAGATATCACTTTACTTCATTGTACTCTCAATTGCATCGATTTGCTCCCTTATACTTTGGTTCGATATCACTTTACCCCCTTCTACTCTCAATTCATCGATTTGCCCCCTTGTACTTTGGCTCGATATCACTTTACCTAATTATATTCTCAATTGCATCGATTTGGCCCCCGTACTTGAAAAATTATCTCAATGTGGCCATCGCCGTTAGTTTTCAGACATTTGACCTTAACACCGTTTGATTTAAGTTTGAAAATTACAAAAAATTCACCCTTCCCAGTTTAATAGTTATTAAGAAAAAAATAAAAAATTGTGGTTGGCGTCGTGGAATATGTTTTCTCGCTGTCTTGAATATTTTATTATTTTAATTTTTGTTTCTTTTTTTTTTTAATTTTTTTAATAAATTTTTAAAATGTAGGGGGTGACATTTTAGTTTTTTTTTTTTTTTTTTTTTTTTTTTTTTTTTTGGTAATGCAGGAACCCGCAGCCAACCATATAGGTGCACTGGGTAAACCTACACTCTCGTATAATAGCTTGCAAACCATACGAGAGATGTAAACCACACTAGGCTAACCATGTGTGACAAGCTCGACCTAGCGACCGTTGGCAAGGGGATTCGAACTTGGGTCAATTGACCCAAGCTCTCTTGCTCCAACCGCTAGGCCACCCTTGCGGGTACATTTTAGTCATTTTCATACTTCAATCAAACGGTGTTAAGGTCAAAGGTATGAGAACTAACGCTGATGGCCACATTGAGACAATTTTTCAAGTAAGAGGGTCAAATCGATGCAATTGAACGTAGAAGGGGGTAAAGTGATATCGAGCCAAAGTACAATGAGGCAAATCGATGCAATTGAGAGTATAAGTGAGTAAAGTGATATTCAGCTAAAGTACAAGGGGTAAAATAGAATTACCCATGTTAAAATCCATATTTTTTGAAAATTTTATAATCGTGAGGTAATCACTACTATTATAAAAATAAATTAATCAAATTCTGTACCTTTCCTAACATTATTAATATTAAAAAAAATTAGTCAATTAATTATAATTGGATTATAATAAATGCTAATGCATCCACAATTGGAGCAGGCCAAATGAAAAGTAGGTGGGCCCCATCATACGGAGGTACAAACACAGAAATAATTGAGGAGATTCGGTGGCGTAGAGATCTTTAATTGTCTTTAGGTGGGTCCCATTTTATAAGGACCATCTGTCGCTTTATGACCGGCATCCCTCCCACGTGCACGTGATTCCAAATTTTCAATTTTTAAATTATAAATTTATAAAATTAACCAAAATTTCGGAATTCGGAGTAAATTAAACCCGTAGATTATCGAAAACCCGACTAACCAGCTTCGACAAATATTCAAAACTATTATCGACCCGATATTCGTTTGGCCAACTTATGCGTTAATTTTTGTATTCGTTAAAATAATAAGAGCGTCATTAATAATTTTAAAATTTTAATACACTCATTAGTGAATAACTTTAGAGATATAAAACTAAATTGAAAATTAAATAATCAGTAGCATAATAATAATCAGCTAATTATCTATCTCCCTTTGACTATTCTATGTTGGTGTAATCCCCACCCACCTCGGTGAAGAAAAATAAAGTTCTTATTTTGACCAACAAATATAAATACGTTATATATCATAGATAGGTATTATATTCGTATTCTCACTTTATATTGAGTATAGCCAAAATAAAATAAAGTTAGAATATGCCATTATTAATAATTAATCAAAATAAATAAGTGGCCGGCAATTAACACTAAAAATTCCTAGACAAAATTATCGACCTATATAAATTAATTTTCCAGGTCAGAAAAATGTAATTCCGGTCAAGTCATAATCAAGAATAGTACTCATACGCGCCATGTGCAATATTATTTTTCTATGGGACTTGAGATTGAATCAATTACCTGTTTATTAGGCCCAAAATTGTGGACATAAGTTTGTTGATTGGACGTGTACACATAACACAATTATTCATATTTATTCTAAA